CGGATCTGAGGAGGGAGTGGAAAATCTCCCCCTTCACTAAAACCTCTTACTTGTTGTGACAGCTCCTATTTTTTACACATGGCTGCAGTCCAAGGTAAACCCAGAGATGTCAAACTTGTCATGCACCCACACTGACAACATGTTTCACCATCACAGTAATATCTCTCTTGTGGAATCAATGACAAGTGTAGGTACAAAATAGGCAAAATAAGAGAAATAAATACAGTGGACATGACATAGAAAGAAATATCAAAATAAACATACTCATGTCCCAACTGAATAAAAACTAAGTACAACTGATATCTGAAATAAATGTGAAGTAACATAATACATAGAGTCAAATGAAAATAGTACTAAGGCACACAGCCTTTACAAAATGAAATACAAGTCTAATGATCAACTAAACTATAATTAAAAGACTGTGGAGTATCAACTACTAAAATAAGTGACGACGACTATGCTGTAAGACCGTCAACCTGCGGCTCTCTGACACCCTGATTTGTTGCCTAAAAAGAAGGGAAAACAAAAAGGAAAACAACAACAACGTCAGAGCACTTTACCAAGATCATCTCCATTCGCCCCCAGGGGAAGGAGCTTTAGCAAGATCATCTCCATTCACCCCCAGGGGAAGGGCTACTAAATGTGATGGAGGCTCTATCTATTATGCATAGTCTACCTAAATCATTTACCATGTATCTAAATGGGATTAATATTTAGAAACCCACAATACGAGACGTAGTACGTCGAGCGAAATAATCCAAATAAGGAAACCCTCATGTATATACGATATGTCTCAAATTGTGAATCGTTAAATATTAATTCCAAACTAAGAATAAAAGATAAAGGAAAAACAGCACATGTAAATACTAAAATAAACAATGTCAAATGTTGACCAAATATCTCGCGCTATACCATTAGGTATATAATGTGGATACAAGAACTAAATCTCCTGTAACTCCCAAACACGAAGTAATCCGGTCACAAAATAACTCAGCGATGAATCGTATTCATAAATGGCATATGCCAAAGACTCAGGCTATCAGATATATCACAATACAATATCTCGTAAGGCTTTATAACTCATCACGTTATCATACGGGATGGATTACCGAATCAGACATCCTAAATATGTACACTGCTCATTAGTCTCATCGCATCACCGTGCGGGATGGACGACCAAATCAGGTATCCTATAAATGCGGCTCTCTAGCCTCATTGCATCACCGTGCAGGACGGACTACCAAATCAGGTATCCTAAAAATCACGACTCAATGGTCTGTATTAACGACATATCGACGCACTATTCCAAGTAGTACTGAGTTGTACTCATCAACGATATCCATAGATACATACGTATTATAATTAATTGTTATTCAAACATGATCAAAACAATATCTGTAATAATCCTCTTCGGAATATCTGTATATGTGTTATGACACAATTCGTGTACATCCATGGTTGCACGTGTGTCATCATACGACTCAAGCCCCGCGTTCATGATTAAACGTGCAAGAGAAATCACCTCAAAACAAGTATCGGTCAACAGCCCCTAGGGCATGAGTCGACCAACGGCAATCATGCACAAAGTGCATTCGAAAAAGGTCCTATCGGTCGACCGATTGCTTCTAGTTGGTCGACCGACCAGAAAGGATTCAAAAAAAATCTTGAATGACACAATCGGTCGATTGATCACTTAGGATCGGTCGATCGATTTCACTATATCGGATTTTTACAGGTTTCTATGTTTCGTAACTTGTCTCGAAAATAAAATTTTGTTAGAATGCAAAGCAAAACATAATTTAAACTTCGTAACTACTAAACAAAGGTTAATTAAACATGGTTATTCTCTTGAAATTAAACTGTTAGAGTTTAACATCCAAATTAACAAAATTCTCAATTAACAACATATTTTTAAATAACATGATTAATAAACATGATTAATTCTAATCATTACACAGTGATAGATTCGTTTAAACAAGATCACATCATCTAGATATCACATACTAATTAACAAAAACATTCAATTAATTGTTAAACTAGGGTTTTAAACCAAATTAGAACATGATTTACAATTTAAAAACAGTGATTAAATCTACAGATTTTTTCATTGGTTTAATGATTAATATCAAAAACTACTAAAAACCGTGATTAAACCTACAGATTTTTTCATTGGTTTAAGGATTAATATCAAAAACTAGGTTTTTATCACATCAGATTAAACTTTAAGCATTGTATTAATCAATTAAACACATTTAATTATGAATTACTACAAGGAAAGGTTTGGAGGAAGATGATCTTGCCTCAAACGTCGTGTTGAACTCTCAAACACGTGCGTGCAAGATTCCTCTTATCCAAGCTCGTAAATCCCACCTTCCTCGAGATAAACGCCTTAGGTAAACTCCCAAAAACTCACAATCTAGGGTTAGGGTTTGAGAGGGAAGGTGGCTGCTGATATATCACGTAAAAGATGAAGGAAAAAAGTTTAAAATGAGTATATATACTTGTATATATAACTGGGCCCGAAATGAAATAAAATCCAACCTAAACACAAACATGCACGAGCTGGGAGCCCGTCGGTCGACCGATGCATCAGTCGACCGGCCAATGGTCATCGGTCGACTAATGCCATAGCATTGGTCGACCTCCCAGAGGCAATATCCAGCCAATTGCAACTGTGCACGTTTACACCTGTTTATTCACATATATACACTCGTTTATTCACATAAATACACTGAATCGATCTCAAATCGATTCCTATCATACTCAACTATTAATAAATAATAATTATCATGATATAACTCATTTATTATTATTTTTCATAATATGTCAAAAAATACGGGGTTTTACACTTGTGATAAGTGCTCCAATTTTACCATGAATGTCAATAATGCAAGTAATACATATTTGTCAAAATTTATCATATGTCAGTAACATTAGAGGGGAAAATATATCAATTGAAGCTCAAAGATACTAACTAGACATTCAAAAAAATGATACCTAACTCTTGCCTAAGATGACAAAATCTCATTCAGGTAGAACTTTGGTGAAGATGTTAGCTAGTTGTTGATCGATGGTGACAAACTCAATGCATGTCCTTTTTTCTTTATATGATCATGAATGAAATGATGTTGGACATCTATGTGCTTTGCGCATGAGTGGTGCATGGGGTTATATACCAAAAAATTAAACTCTTACTATCACAATTGAGAGGTACTTTGGTAAACCTAAACTCATAGTGTTCTAGGGTTTGCATCATCCACAAAGCCTATACAAAAAGAAACTTGAAATCACATACTTGGTCATTGGGAAAACATCGTTATTTCATGAATCTTTGAGAAGTTTTTTTTTCTATCAAAAGTTCATTCACATACTTGGTTTGTGAAATAAAAACTTCTTCTTGGTTTGTTTCACTTGAAATCACAGAAAATATATTAACTCGCCAACCGAGCTCATCTTGAATTCATCCTACATAGCGTTCTCAAAGATTCGACATGAAAAGATCATTGCTAGAACCAAAGATAATATAATCAATGTAAATTTAAACAATTAGTGGATCACAATTATCATGTTGAAAACTCTCATGTCATGAGCTCTCCTCTTTTTATATCCTTTTTCCAAAATAAAATTACTAAGACAATTATATCATGCTTGAGGGACTTGTTTCAAACCGAATAAAACTTTTGTCAATTGAAAATCAAAATCTTTAAAACTAGGGGGTTACTCCACATAGATTTCTTCCTTTAGAAAACCATTGAGAAAAGAATTTTTGATATCCATTTTGATAAAGTTTGAAGCCCTTAAAATATACAAATGAAAGCAATATTTTGATAGTTTATAACTTAAGCAACTAGAGTATAAGTTTCATATTAATCAATACCCTCAATTTGGTTATATTATTGATGTATCCTGGTTATATCCTTGTTGCCCAAGCTTGCATGTCCAAACCTTCTTTACCACTGTTATGCATCCTTATTCCTGACAACCAAACATTTAAGCCCAATATGAGATAAATTGTTAAATGAAATAGTATATATAATATTGAAACATTTTCTAGTGAACAATACAAAATTTGACCTTTCATTAATAATTTGACACAAAGTAGAACTAAAGTTAATGTCCATATATTTATCGTACAGTTGGCTAATAAAAATGAGGTTATGTTTTAGACCAACATAGTGGATATTCTAGATTTTAAAATTTTCTATTACCTACCTCGCCGCTCCAATGATTTTACTTTTACCATTGCCCTCAAAAGTAACATACCCTTCCTTTCTTTTCATTAAGCTAGGGAACTTATTGATACCTTCTGTCATGCGCTTTAAGCAGCCTAAGGGGGGGGGGGTTATTCGTTGGTGTAATTTGGTATAATTTGGGGTAAATTATTCCAATGGGGTAATTTTACCCAATGGGATAATTGAGTGGGATAAAGTGGGGTAAAATGGGGGTAATGAGACAATTTGAGTGGGACAATTTTAGTATGACATCTTTTTATAATATTATATTTATAGCTCAATTAAATTCAAGTTTAACTTGATATAACATCAAATGATTAAATAAATAATAGTTATAATATAAAATAATATTAATTTTTAATATTATTTTAATATAAAATATTAAAATAATATAATAATATTAATATTAATCAATCTTAAAATATTTTGATGTTTATTTTAACTATTATGCTAGATTAACAAATTTTTTAATTGCAATAATTATTTAATCATTCATACATCTAATTACAATGATGATGATGATAAAGTCTCAATTATTACAAATAAAGTCTCAGTCGGTAACTTAAATCTTAATTATTACAAATATAATCTACCGGCATATAACTTTGCTTTAGACTCCTTGGGCTACGTTTGTCCCATCCTCCCACATTGTGTTTGCTATTTATTCTCTCCAACGTGATGCAGCTGTCCTTTGTGCTTGTTGAGTTTGTAGGTCATCGTCCTCATCAGAATCACCATCAATCGGAGCAACATTGCGTGGTGCCTCTGGAGGAAGATCAGAAACTTCAAAGTCATCGTTGGAGTTCTCCATCTTCAGAAAATTATGCAGGCCGATACATGCCCAGATCATACTTTTTTGAGTCTCATATGGAAAACCTGGAGGTTGAGACTTAAAAATTGTAAACCTAGACTTAAAAATGCCAAAAATACGTTCAATACAATTTCTAAGTGATGAATGTCGATGGTTGAATAGCTCATGAGCATTGCGTGGTCGCTGACGGTTGTTAGCTGGGCCAAACTCTTTAAGGTGGTACCTCGTACCCCGATAAGGAGCCAAGAATTGTAGCCTATTTGGGTAACCACAATCAACTAGATAAAATTTACCTGCATTAACATTTCTTTAGAATTATAATCAATAAATATAAAATCTAACAATTTGATAAAAAAATATTTACCATTTGGAAGTGGAAGACTACATGCACTTCTACTCATTGCATCCTTCAGGACCCGTGAGTCATTGGAAGATCCCTCCCATCCCACTAAGACATAAATAAACCTAAGATCAAATGTGCATGCTGCAAGGATATTTTGAGAAAGATAGCCATGTCTATTACGGTATGGAGTTTGGTCCTCGCCATATACCATGCATGGAATGTGGGTCTCGTCAATAGCACCAATACAGTCCTATATATTCCCATTAACATATATGAAATGTGACTTTAAAATTATAATAATAACAATGAATGAAGACTTATATAGTGTATTTAAATTTCAATACCTTGAAGTAAGGCCAAAAACGAGATTCAGATGTGACCTTTTCTGGTGGATCAGTAGGAGGAGGAGCCATCATACAAGGGGCTAATGACACAAGGGCCTGTAGTGCCTTATTGAAACAAACACTGACGGCAAATCGGGATCGATCAAACCTTTCAGTGGTGATGCAATATCGTTGATTTTGAGTAACGGTGAGTAGGAAAATAGCAACCATCTCCTCAACGCTGATATACCGTGTATCTTGTAAATGCCCACGTTCTCGCAAGACCATACACAATTTCATGAAGCAATCCGGATACATACGGTATACTCGACGAAAATCACGTGGGTTGCTATCCATCTTAAATTTCAAATATTGAAGGCCAAGGTCCGTAATGCCATGTCTGAGTTGGGAAATGAGTAGATTTATCTCCTCTTGTGATATGAGGTGCGAGATACTCGTGACTAGACCTCCTATTTGTGCAGCCATGTTTACTACTATCATGACTAGATACTCGAATGCCTTCACACAGCTATCTGACTCCTTCCATGTGTAATTGTTTGTATGATTATTGCAATATGGAAATCCAAATCCTATAATTTTTGAATTGAGTGTCATTCTCTTGAGTATCAAAATAGTACCTCAAGAATAAAACAACCACCATTTTCCATTGCCTAAAAGATAATACAACACAAAACTAATCACCTTGGAAATTTATGAATTCCCTTACCAAGTATATTAAATAGGTGAAAGGGATTCACTAAAACTCTACAGAACCTAATGCAATGTCACTCAACTCTTGTTAGCATTGAAGAGGATATTAGTAGCTGGTGAGTTTTCCAGCAGCAAATTTGACTTGCTAGCATTGATGAGGAGATTAGTAGAAAAAAATAAAATGTCACTCAATACCTATAGACCAAATGCAATGTCAATCAACTCTTGTTCGTAATACATCAGTTCAGTAAAAACCTTTCAATTTGTTTTCCTAATCTGTTAAAACATTCAATTTGTTTCCATAGGCATGCTATTCAATTTGTTCACTATAAAATTCAGTTTTGACATCGGTGCCTTATGGATCCAGAGATTGTACCTGGGTTGGGAGGCGGTGCCGCGGAGGAGGCCGCGGAGGTGATGGCGGCGGCGACCGAGCCCGAGAACGGCGGCGGCGAAGTGGGCGTTCGAGCTCGAGAACGACGTACGAACTCGAGAAGACGAACGGCGTTCGGCGGCGAACGGCGTTCGGCGGCGAACGGCGTTCGGCGGCGAACGGCGTTCGGCGGCGAACGGCGTTCGGCGGCGGCTCGAACTCGAGGCGGAGAGACGAGGTCGGATCTGGGGGCGTCGGGTCTCCAGCTGGGTTTTTTGGTTCCAGCGAAAGAATTGGGGCAAAATTTGGGGGTTGGACTGAACTTTGCTTTTATAGGTGGGATAAATTGGGGGAAAGTGGGGAAGTTGTCTCAGAATTACCCCAACAAACCAATAACACCATAAAGATTACCCCAGGTCCAATTACCCCAATGAATAACACCAAACATTGGTGTTCCAAAAATTATCCCATTATCCCAACAATTACCCCAATGAATAACGCCCCCTTAAGGTTACAAATACACTTTACCTTGTAGGTGAGCTGGCGGGCTAGGGATCGGAGTAGCATATAGTAGCATATCAGCGTTGAGGAGATGGTTGCTATTTTCCTACTCACCGTTACTCAAAATCAACGATATTGCATCACCACTGAAAGGTTTGATCGATCCCGATTTTCCGTCAGTGTTTGTTTCAATAAGGCACTACAGGCCCTTGTGTCATTAGCCCCTTGTATGATGGCTCCTCCTCCTACTGATCCACCAGAAAATGTCACATCTAAATCTCGTTTTTGGCCTTACTTCAAGGTATTGAAATTTAAATACACTATATAAGTCTTCATTCATTATTATTATTATAATTTTAAAGTCACATTTCATATATGTTAATGGGAATATATAGGACTGTATTGGTGCTATTGACGGGACCCATATACCATGCGAGGACCAAACTCCATACCGTAATAGACATGGCTATCTTTCTCAAAATATCCTTGCAGCATGCACATTTGATCTTAGGTTTATTTATGTCTTAGTGGGATGGGAGGGATCTTCCAATGACTCACGGGTCCTGAAGGATGCAATGAGTAGAAGTGCATGTAGTCTTCCACTTCCAAATGCTTCCAATGACTCACGGGTCCTGAAGGATGCAATGAGTAGAAGTGCATGTAGTCTTCCACTTCCAAATGATAAATATTTTTTATAAATTTGTTAGATTTTATATTTATTGATTATAATTCTAAAGAAATGTTAATGCAGGTAAATTTTATCTAGTTGATTGTGGTTATCCAAATAGGCTACAATTCTTGGCTCCCTATCGGGGTACGAGGTACCACCTTAAAGAGTTTGGCCCAGCTAACAACCGTCAGCGATCACGCAATGCTCATGAGCTATTCAACCATCGACATTCATCACTTAGAAATTGTATTGAACGTATTTTTGGCATTTTAAGTCTAGGTTTACAATTTTTAAGTCTCAACCTCCAGGTTTTCCATATGAGACTCAAAAAAGTATGATCTGGGCATGTATCGGCCTGCATAATTTTCTAAAGATGGAGAACTCCAACGATGACTTTGAAAATAAAATACAATAAACAAACTCAAAAAAAATTACCATATAATGTGGTTCATCTATAGGAATTCCTCCTAGGATTTTCATCAGTCGTTGATGTATAATACTTGCACTGTTATTTTAAGATTGATTAATATTAATATTATTATATTATTTTAATATTTTATATTAAAATAATATTAAAAATTAATATTATTTTATATTATAACTATTATTTATTTAATCATTTGATGTTATATCAAGTTAAACTTGAATTTAATTGAGCTATAAATATAATATTATAAAAAGATGTCATACTAAAATTGTCCCACTCAAATTGTCTCATTACCCCCATTTTACCCCACTTTATCCCACTCAATTATCCCATTAGGTAAAATTACCCCATTGGAACAATTTACCCCAAATTACACCAAATTACACCAACGAATAACCCCCCTAAGATCCAAAAAGGTCCATCCTTGTTAGTAGTTAAACTTTTAAACTTTTTGGAACCCAAATATAATTTTCATAATTTGCCTTATTTTTAGAAAACAATACTTTGAAACATGACCAATTTTACCACAAGTAAAGCAACTTATAGTAGATATTTTAGGAACGTAATTTGAAAGAAGCAAATGGTCTTTGCTAAAAATATGATTTTTCAAATTATTTTTCCCATCAAAGCATTTGAAACCTTTGTCATTATTTTTCTAAAAAAAAAACTAGACCACGACCAGTTTTACCATAAGCAAACTGTTGATTTAAAAGAAACATGTCAAGATTTTTCTTACCAAGATTAAACTTTTTCATAGCAACTTAAAAGTCAAGAATTTTGGTCTTAAGGCTAGTGTTCCCATTTACAAGAAAAACAAAATTCATTGAGAAAAGCTCTTTCATTATTTTCAACACTTCAGGGAATTTTGACAATTCTAGCGTTCAAGACATTATTAGCATTATCAAACTTCGAAACTTTTCTCAACAAATCTCCGTTTTCACATATAATTTTTTATTTTTAGTTTTTAAAGTCTCAATTTCAATCATAAAAGAATCACATGCAGAGCAAGTAAAGCAAAAAATATTTTCAGCAGAAGTTTTAAAATCAAGCTCTAATTTTTTTAACTCTAAAATGCAAAGCATTTTTCTTATCCCAAACAACAAGTTTGTTCAAATTGGTGAGTCTCAATTTATAATTATCACACTTTTCAATCAAATCATTACAAGAATCAATAAGTTGAGTGTAAGAATCATTATATGAACTTTCTTCGTTGTTCTCATCCTCACACATCCATCAAGCAAAGCTTTGCCATTACCTACTCATAGTTAGAATAGCTTTTTGACTCACTTTCACTTAATCATCCCAAGTAGCATTCAACACCTTCTTACTCTTTAATTTTTTGTCCTTACTAGCAGTGGGCAACCTCTCTAAATGTGTCTGGGTTTCCTACATTTAAACAAATAATTTCATCATAACTTTAACCACTAGAGGCAATTTTCTTACTTTCCTTGTACTTGTTCTTTTTCCCCAAACTACTCTCGCCCTTTCCTTATTTTCATTAACTTCTTCTGTCCGTGTACAACCGAGTTGAAATTATCTTCTCTAAGGATTTCATTGCTCTTCCTTATTTTAGTGCTAGAGACTTCTTCTTTGGTTCTTCATCATCAACAGTATCTCTATCTTTCAGCTTAATCTAATACATTATATGGTTACCTAGTAGCTCTTCAAGACTTAGCTTGTTCAAATCCTTAGCTTTTTAAATTGCTATAATCTTTGCATCCCAGTACTTTAGTAGATACGTGGGAATTTTTTGAACCGATTTAGCATTAGAGTAATTCTTACCAAGAGCTTTCGAGGTGTTGATGATATTAGTTAGTCTAGTGAACATTACTCCAATCGTCTCAGTTTGCTTCATCTTGAAACTCTCATATTGGCTAAAGAGGAGAGACCACCTTGACACCTTCACATGTGAAGTTCCTTCATGTGTCACCTCTAGTGTATGCTAGATTTTTTTTGTTGTGCTGAAAGCAAAAAAATACGATTAAAACTCATTTTTAATCCGAAGCACAATTCAATATAAGGCATTCATAGATTTAACATTCAAAGGACACAACTTCTTATCGGTTTTAGTTCACTTATCCTTTGGTTTGGCAATTTCTATGTCCTCTACAGTCAATGTGGGTGGAATATCTGCTCTCTACTATATATACTCTAAACATCATAATCATAGTAGAGAAGATAAACCTCATTCCAAGATTTTCGGTATGTGTAGCCCGTGCGATTGAACATAAGAGGACATGTGACTGAGTGTCCTTAGGAAAAGTAATGAGATTTTGTGGAGTGGTGTGTTCTAAATAAAACGTTGTAAGTGCACAACTAGTTTGTGTAGCATACAAGTGTTGATCCCAAGATGAAGGTGTGTTCTAAGAAAAATCCTAAAGTGGTTCTTAAAATGTCAAAGAAAAGAAGGAGAGATTGTGTGAAGAGATTGATTTAGGTGTGACTATTACAAACAAAAAGGCTAAAAATAAGAAAAGAGAAAGAAAGAAAGAACGAAAGAAATGAAAAAAATAAGAGACCAAGAAAGAGAGTAAAACTAAAAGAAGAAGCAAATAAAGAGATGGAGGAAATCAAGTGAATAAACTAGGAATCTAGGATTGAATCCATTAATTAATTCCTATTTGGATTTAAAAACTACACTCTTTTAATTCTCATATTACTTATAATTCTTAAGCATAGATTATATATTCAAAACAAGCATAACCTATCAAAAACATATTC